TACCATATGGTGAATGTTATTAACACAAAAGAGTTAACAGAATAGAATTGGCAATAATTTTTGCACGTAACACTGCTGGATTCTGTATTGATGTGCTTCAGTTCCCCATGATGTGAATCAAAATCTCTCTCTAGCCTTGCACCGTATCACTAATTACTCTTTAGACTCCCAGGCTAACGCTAGGGGGCGCTGGGTACTAGAATTGCACCTATTCCAATGTAGCAGAATCTGCTTGTGTGCTGCAGTTGAGAATCAGATAAAGCCTTTGCAAACCATATTTGCTGAGGCTGAGGAGAAGAGCATTGGGTCTTTGCAAATATTTACAGGAGATGAAATGCTTTATCAACACAGAGTTTGCCTAGTGTAATTTCTGGACCAGAAAAAGAGAAAAAAATGTACATATTACAAGAGTTAAATCATTTGTTTTGTTTTTTTAAACTAAATGTCACTTGAACAATCAGAGTTTATTTCCAAAATATAGAAAACACATCACCATTTATTTTGTAATAAATATTAGAAAAATAATTACCATGTGCCTAGCTGCTATTAATTAAAGATCATTGTCATATATCAGATGTAGGCTATTGACTAATGATCATCTATTTTCTTTCTAGTAAAACATATTCCAATTGAGAGTTTGTAAGCTCTATCCTATACAGTATTTTCACATTATTTTTCATTTTTTCATCTGCAAATCAAAGCAATAAAAATCGATATTCCACAGTGTCAAATGACAGCTTGAGAACTGCTGAACTGTATCACAGCAGTTATACAACTACTAGCATTTTGAAAATGGTCAATAAAAATTTCCCACAAGAATGGGTTTAGTACAGAATCTGTAAAGTGGTCTTAAATTACAGGGAGGCAGATTCTGGTTGAATGTTAGAAAATCATCCTGAAGGCAAGAACAGTTATAGAAATTAATTATCCAAAGAGGCAGTGGTCTCTTTCTCTCTCCTTCATTGGATGGCTTCAGGCAGAGGCTGGATGCTTGTCTGGGAAGCTTTAATTTGGATTTCTACAGTCCAGATTCCTTTTTTGAACTGCTTGTTTGAATGATAGACTAGATTTGAAAGAGGTGCTTTGGATCTCATAGAAGCAATAATAGACCACTTGTTAACAACCTATTAAAGCAACCTTATCTTCTTCCAGGATTGTATAGATTCTGCAAGGTAGCTTCCACTGCAGACTTATTTTTTTAAAAAACAGTGCTCAGTAGTCTTATTTATCCACTTCTGAAATGCAATTATGCAAATTTAAGTAGTGCAGCTCCCTAGATTTGTTGGATGTGGACAGAGTATATATCCAGTATATAAAAATATCTGAATAGTGCAGTATTTTGTGAGGGCCTGCACCAGCATTTCTTTCTGCTCCCCCCCAATCTAATTTATCTTCCTATCTGTTTACATATTATTTGGCAAATATGGGACCCCTGCCCCTAAATAGAATTAAAAATAGCCCTTGGAGATTATTTTAATAAAATAAGTAGCCTACAGGAAAGAGATGAGTCACCTCCTATACTTGTTAACTGCATTTTAATTAAAAATAACTCATAGCGGAAATGAACACTAAATACAGGTCTCCTATGTCATACTTCAATAGTTTAACAGTAACAGAGTTGGAAGGGCCAACTTGGAAAACACAGTTTTGGCATAATATGCTTGTTATTTAACTGACAATACTTCCAAATAGTACTTCCAGCCATTCTATCACCTAAGTCTTGTATTTTTAGGATTGAAATTAAGTACGTCTTGAGTGGCCCATTCTCACAAGATGCTACAAGCACGTCTGTTCTGTAAGTCTCCAATGCTCATCAAAAACCAGAAGCCAATCAGAATGTAATTTCTGGCCAAGTGATTAGCTGTTTTAGTCAATCAGGAACCAGCTGTTAATGTCTTGCTTTTCTTCTCATCTTCTGCAATAAGACAAATATTTCCCCCTTCACGCTGGAAAGGAATAAAAGGAAATAAAATAAAAGTGCTTCACCTGCTCACCATAAGTACATACTACTGGTATGACAAGACTATACCCAACCTGTTCCTCTACTGCCAGAAGTCTGGAACTGGGGCTGGTTTCTGTATTTCCTCCAGGTTCACATGTACACACTTTGTAAATTTTCATAATAAAACATAGGTGCTCTTACAGTGCTGTGATCTGTTGCAGATGGAAGTCCCAAAATCCATCCTACAATTGCAACAAAGAAATGATACTAAACATAGTGGAAAAGACAGAGGGGAAATAGTAATTCGTTTCCAAAAGGCTTATCCATGCCACCTGAATACACATGAACCCACCTGAAAACGCTACTATAGGCAACTATTAATGTAACTGCACTCTGAAATGTATACACTATTTAAGTCTGTAAGAATTCTCTGAAATGGACAAATAAATCAAAATTAAAATTTGATAGGGCCTCACTTTACTGTTTCTTGAAAACTGTTGTTTCCTTTTTTCTGTTATTCCGATACCTATGTCAATCTCACTATAAACATGCATGACATCCTTAACCATTCCTGTATGGAAATGCAGTTAATGCATATAATTTAACGTATCTTGCAAGTTTTATTAATCTTAATACTGAAGTAGCAAAATTCAAACATATCATGTAACTGATATGAGCTATCCTGTAATTTCTCTTGTAACATTAACTGAATATCTCCACAGCTTCATTTTTTTCTTCCATTCAATTGTGTCTGATTCTCTGAGATTGTTTGAACAACACAACTTCTATAACATGGAATTTTATTTATGTATTATGCTTCTCATTTACTAGGCAATACCTTAATGACACGGCATAAAAGAGACACACTGGGACTGAAATTAGATTGGGTCGAGATATCTGTCTAGCTTCCGTGGGAAACAAAATACTCAGTAACATATGGTAACTTAGCATATGAAATGGTTCAGATTTGAGGCCATCATTCTTTGAAAGAAAAGATCACATGTCTTTCATTTTAATGTTTAAAGGACTAAAGAGATGCATTTAAAAGTTGATTATTATCTGTATTACATCTAGATATCTAAATATTTTAACCAATGGTTTCTATATTATTAAAAACCACACTGTGCCTATCTCCCAATCAGTAAGATACCTAAGGATTAAGTAATCTAAAACTTCATTTCCACATGAAAGTCTAACTTCTAATTGGTATTATAACACTGGCATAACTGATGCTGTAATTTTATGGACTCCTTTTCAGAAGCACATCCTATCACACTTGCTGGCATTTGCTTTGTGTACATGGGCATCAGATTGGGATGTGGCCTACTGCCAGACTATTTTGCTGCAAATCCTTTTGGTGGTGCTGTAGCTGTTCTTGAACACGGGCCATCAAAATAGAAGGAAGATGGAGAGTTGCTGCACTAATAGCAGAAGCATAGTGACTATTAGTATGAATAGTCGTAGAGGTATCTGGATAAGGGTGGGTTAGGCATTAAGTGCTGCCTGATCTTCCCTTTAAATTCACCTGCAGTTTTTTCTTCCTTCAAGAAGAGAGCAAGAACATATTTTAAAGGCTAAAACCAGACTACCCCTACCCTCTGATTAGCTACTTTACTAAGGAGTGCAGCAGGACAAAACAGACCTCCAACCTCCCTCAAACACCAACACTTCTCTCTAGACACAATAAGCTTCAGAATTGTAAGGAATGTCCTTACGATCAAGTTCAGTTAGGAAGGCAATTGTATTACTCCAAAGCGTTACCGCACAGGTAGATATAATGCATAACGTAACACAGTCATTGTTATTAAATACAGTTAACGCAAAAGATATTTTTCACCCGCCTGTGAAAAAGAACTTTCTTCAATCAAATTCTGAACTAAGAGAATAGCACGAAGAGGCTGATTTTCGGCAAAACGAGCTTTTGCGCTTTCTGCTCCTCTCTCCGCAAAAGGACTCCGGTCAGACTTCAGGTCTAGCTTTCCTTTAAAAAAAAAAAAAGGAAGGAGAAGAGAGAGCCGCAAAAGCCAGAAGAGAAAGTTCTATGCAACTGCGTGCCTTCCGCACTACGAAGTGGCTCGGGAAGAGCTGGCGGCTGCCTGTATATGAAAGACGCGCCATAGGCTGGAGCTTTGGGGAGAGTGGCGGGGAAAGGGGCACGCAGGTCCAAATGGAAAGTGGGTCTTCTTCAGCAACCGATGCAAGAGACACGCCAGAGGCACTCACCCCCTGAGGATCCCCGGTGCATCCATCTTCCTTGAAGGGCGAGGGAGGAGAGTTGGGAGATTTCCCCCTCGTGCCAGAACGTCAGCGGTGGGGATCCTAAAAGCGGCGAGAACGAGCCACAGAGTGGCAGGCAATTCCCCAAACCTCTCCCCTTCCCTCGTCTCTCTCTTCTCCTCCTCCGGTCCCCCCCTCCCCTCCCCTCCCCTCCCCAGTCGAAAGAAAGCAGAGCACGCCGCGCCGCCGCCGCCGCCGCTGCCAATGCGCCAGGCTGGCGGCGCAGGAGGAGATGACGCAAAGGGCCGTGCGCTCCCCACCAAAAAAGTGCTTCTCCCGGACGAAGATGGCGGCAACTTAGCGCAGGGCCCCAAGATGAGGGTGGCCCCCGGGCGGCAGGAGGCAACTAAATCCGTGCCGCGAGCCGGGAGGGATCGTGCCCGGCGGGAGCTTCAGCGAGAGCCACAGCAACCGCAGCGCAGTGGCACCAACGCTCCTAGCAGCCGCTGCAGCGGCGGCGGCAGCAGCAACAGCAGCGAGAGCAGAGCCAGCCGCAGCGAGAGCCACAGCAGCAGAAGCCGCCACCTCCAAAGCGGCAGGAACTGCAGCAGCCTCAGCCCCGGCGCTCCGGCATCTCCCCAGCAGCCCCGGCAACCTGTCGAGCCGCAGCCAGCCCAGCGCCGGGAGCTCGTCTGGGGCTAGCGGGGGCGCAGTCCGCGGGCTTCCCCGGGTGGCTCTCCAGGGCGCCGGGGTGGGGGGTGGGGGCGGCGGAGCGCGGCATGAGGCGACGGGCGGGCAGCGGGGGACTGGCGGTGTTGGCGCCAAAATGGGGGCCTGCGCTCTGACCATGCCCGGGTGACGGGAAAGGCGAGGGAGGCAGGGGACGGCTACCGGCCCGGCCCAGCCCAGCGCGCAGGAGCACCAGCACCATCGCCACCATTCGCACCAACAACGCCGCCGCGGCCACCCCCACCCCCGTCGTCACCCTTCGCTGAGGGGGGAGCCTGGCGCCCCGCCGCCCAGTGTCCATGCCCGTGGGGCCGTCGAGCCCGGCTGCGGAGCCCCCGTCGCCGTGGAGCCGGCCGGGGCTGCGCGCTCCCGAAATATGAGCAGCCGCCCCACGGGAGGATCCGGCTCGGGCGTGTGCTTCGGCCCGCGGGACACCGACAAGCCCTTCGCCGACTCGGAGCGGGCACAGAAATGGCGCCTGTCGTTGGCCTCCCTGCTCTTCTTCACCGTCCTGCTCTCCGACCACCTGTGGCTCTGCGTTGAGGCCAGGCAAGTGGCCGCCGGGCACCATCGGGACCGGGAGCGCCGCGCGGAGCCGGGCATGGAGCACGACGTAGGGGGGACGGCCCCCAGCAGCAGCCCCGCGGCACCGGCCGCTGACCAGTGCTTCAGCTTGCTGGGCGACGCCGAGGCTGCCTGTCGCCGTTTGCAGCCGGGGGGCTCGGCCCAGGCGGAGCTCTACCTTCCCTTTTGTAATTCCTATACGCTGCGCGAGCTCTTCGCCGGGCTTTCTCGGCCGGACATGCTGAACTGCACTGTGGACCGCGAAGGCGGCGGCGACGACGACGACGACGACGGGGGCGCTGGGGAAGGGGATCGGCGCAGCAGGGAGGAGGAGGAGGAGGAGGATTGGTTTCGCTCCTGCCGCCGCTGCGTCCTGGTTTACCAGAGGTACGATCGGCAAGCTCAGGACCGCTACCGGGAGTTCGAGCTCGTGCTCCAGAAATACCTGCAGGCGGAGGAGTACTCGGTGAAATCCGGTCCGGAGGATTGCAAGGTAGGAGCCTCGCTTGCTTTCCGGCGGCGGCTGTGTTTGTTTTACCCTTGGGGTCTGTGGCTACCGTGCTGGCCTGCGATCTTCGAGGAAGCGCGTGGTCGAGGCGGCGTGGAGGGTGGGGGGGGGGGGGGGCGGCGGGCGGGGGGGCCATCCTCGGTCTCTTGGGAGGGCAGAGGTACCTTCCTTCCGAGAACCGCGAGGCACTGTTGGTTCCCCTGGCCCGTTTCGCCTGGGGCTGGAATGCGGCTTGGCAGGGAAAAAGCGGCGGCGTGCCAGCCAGCGAGCAAGATCCAAGGTGAAGAACGTGCACGGGCTGAAGTTGGGGGAAGGGGAGAGTTTGGTTGAAGCATAGTTGGGAAGGGGTTTCCCCACGTCGTCCTTACTTGATTTGCGATGTCGGTTGTTTCCCGGAGTTGGCAAGGAAGAGGCGTCATTCAGAGGTCAGCGAGCCAGAGTGGTTGCTTTGCAGAGGAAGTTAATTTTGAAGTTGCTGTGTTTGTGGGGTTGAATAGATGACGGGCACTGGGTATATGTTCTTTTGGGTTTTGTGTGCGTGTATTAAGCGCAGTTCAAAAATCTCCTGTGCTACCAAAGATAACGTGCTTGGCGTTACTCTTTTCTATACCTCCGGATTGTCGAGAATAAACGGCAGAGAGATAATAGCTGCGTGGCTGGTCAAGTACTTACAGCGTCTCTCTGAAGGACAATCTTGTCCAAATTCATTGTGAAAGCTTTGCTTGCGGGGCTTTAAAGTGCTTCCTGGAACCTTTGGGAATCAAAGCTCGGTGATTATCTGAGGAGCACTAGAGAGGATGGTAATTGAGTCATAGAGGAAAGGAAGTAGTCCCAGGTGGACTTTCTTTTTCTTGGCATGTGTGTGTGCTTCAAATCTTCTCTTATCAAATCTCTGGAGTTAGGATTAGCTCCAGTTTTATTAATTGCTAATACATCCTGCAGTGATTCTGGGTAGAAAGCACTGATGGTAGTACAATTGTGGTGTCTGCTTTGTTGCTATGTATACTTGATTATTTTCTCATCCTACTCAAGACACAGTTGCAAGTGTAGCAAAAAAAATTTGTTGTCTTGTGACTGTTGTAGTGAATCTCTTTACAGTTGTGGTCCCAGGTGAATTCATATGGAAATAATTTTCTCTAAAGCTAATGATATGGTTTTATTTTAAACAAATAAAACTGATTATGTGATCACTTTCTATAAGAATTGTGTTGTGTTTTAAAATACAAGGCCAGCAATATTCTTTTGAAAGAGAAAAATCTGGATGGTGGATACCTTAAGAAACCTAAAGCATTTTGTTTTAGGTTTTGTAAAAAACAAAAAATGTAAAATAACCAAAAATGCTTTTAGATGGAACCAGTTTACTTTCCCCCTGAAGTACTTTAGGAAATATTTATTGGTCAAGAAGAGTTTTCTGTTTTGTTTTATTTTTAAAGCAACTTACTTTGAAAGTTTGCATTGAGAATGGTATCTTCATAAATAAACTTGTGATATCCAGACTTTGGGGATATAATAATCAGTACATCTTTACACATGACTTGGAAGCTTGTTCTTGTGATCAACATAAGCGCTGCTTCTTATTTGAGGAAAAGGAGGTGCATGTTATTCTGAACTGTAAACTGAATCGGATACATACAGTCCAGTCCAGTCCTGTGTGATGGAACACAGGCCCACAGCGCTGCGGAGGCTCGATGCTGTCCATGGTGCTGAAAGAGCTTAGTGATATCCTTGCTGCTTGGTGTTACAGTACTGTTTGTGAAATCAAAGGTATTTTCCAAGTGGCTTAAGTCACTCAACGTTACCTTTTTGATCAGTATGATAAAATGGGTTATAACTGAGTTTTCCTTAGCACATTGGAAGGTAGAAGCCTCAGTATCTCAACTGTCAAATATATAACTATGTTTTGATGTTTGGGCTGTTTGTACTAAGACTCTTTAACCCTTTAACTCTTTAATTAAAACTTTAGATAGAAATTTTAATGTATCTGCAGAGGTAAAATCTCTGAGGTGCAAATATATTTTATTTGACCTGACAGCTAAAGATAAGTTTTGTTTCGGTTCTGAATGTTTAAGATATAGAATTGCGAATTGAAAAAGCATCTTTGTAACAATTACAGATACTGTTTATTTTATATCTTATCTAGTTCTTGTTTTATGTGCTGCTAGTCACCTTTTACTGTGCTTTAAAATAGATATGTTCTAAACAGCCTCAGAAAAGCTATTGAGACAACTGTTCCATAACAGACATTAAAGCATTTATTGCAGTTTATAATTTACATTCAGTAACTGAAGCAGTGATACTTAATATACACATGATCTCCTATAGCGTTTGTTTTTCCTGTCTTTACCCCTTTCTTGTACAAGTAGCCTCAAAGAACAAATGGCTTGGGCAGCCAGTGTTCTCTCTTCTCATACTCCTAGAATTGTATTATTTATTGTAATTGTCAAAAGCTACTAGTTTGGCACTATTCTGATATTTTATTATTATACTGTAGCATTAAAATAGATTTTTTAAAGAAATGTATTAAAACTGTAATAAAAACAATTTTTTCTTTTGGTAATTATCCCATGTATACCTTTAAGCGCATCATACTAAAGTAATATTTGCAGTTAGTTATCACAGTCAGAACAGTGTGGGCTTTAACCATGTCCACTGCAGCCTTAGTCATCTACAAATAAGATTTCTTTAGTTTTATGAATTATTATTAACTATAGGCAATTCAAAGCTTCTTGGCGTTAGCTGATATGTTAAGCTTGAACTGATGGTGTTACATGAAAATAATAATAAAAAACAATATAAAGTTTTACATTTCAACTGAATACAAAATTATTCCGTAGGAATCATATCAGTATATTTACAGTTCTTTATCCAACTGCATTTGTCATTTTTATGAATCTGGTTGATCTCACAGTAACTTGCATGCTGATTTAAAGGCATGTTTGTTGATGCTATTTTTGGCTACTTTTGAACATTTGTAATTGAAGTTGGACAATTTAATCTCATTCCCTCATGTATTTAGTAAAGTTGAAGCAGGATAACAATTACTCCACCAATACAATGATAGTGAAATGTAATTTAATAGAATGCCAATGGCTCTGATTTCAGTAGCAAGATGTCATTAGCACTGCTGAGGAAATATATTGCAATTTATCTTAGTATATTTTTCCATGTTGTGTATAAACAAATGACTTTTTTTTTCTTATTTAACAAAATATAGCTATGTCTTCAGAAAGTTGTATATACATACTTTATATTACAAAGTAAGAAATATGAGCTAGAAAAATAGTGTTAATTTTATTGAGCGCTTTGCTCCAATTGCTACATTTAAACCTGTAGTGAGGATAACATTGTAGATGGGAATTAAATGTGCTTCTGAAAGTTGTTAAATGAGAGGATATTAATAAAATGCATGCAAGCATATCTCCATTAAAATATTTTACCGAGGCTTAATATTTGAATGTTTACATTTTTAAAAACTATGCACAGCAACCCTACTTTCCAGAGGGTTTCATGGTAATTATAATATATTAAATAAACAAGCTAAACAGTACAAACAAGTGAAATAATTGTTTTTCTTATTGAAGTGGTATTTGATTGAACACTGGTAGAGAAGTGCGTGAAGGACAAAAGGTGGAGCTACCTTTTGGATACTAGGTCCTGAATAACCAAAAAGGCAGATATTTTCAGCACCAGTCTGACTTCCAATCAGAGACCTACCCATACTTGTGAATTGTCATTCACAATTCCTCCTACCTAAATTCTGCTTAATTTAATGGGTCTCATCCAGATGTTTGGAGATAGTTCTAGTTTTTCATTTTCAAGATATACCTAATGACTATTTTCAGAAATGAAGGTCTGTTATTTTATGTTGTTGTATTATGTTATGTACTGTGCATTGGATTTAGGAGTCTTATGTGTCTCTGGTTTTAGAATATTGAAATTGCTAGTTAAAGGACAGAACTGAAATTAATTCCAGTTGGAGTATTCTCATAACAACTTCAAGTTTGAGGGCCTGGGCCTGCCAGAAGGACAGTTTTACACAATGATTTGGCATTAGGTACTCAAGGTTACTACTTTCCTTTTGGGCAATTAATCATTGATGAAAACTGTTTCTATTTTGGATAGGAATTTGGGAGAACAATATATGATCTTTCTCAGGGAAATGAGGAAGAAGACTTCCAAATAAAATAGAATTGACTTAAAATACTTGGAAATAAGCTTAACAGTGTAAATACATGTAAATGCAATTAAAAATAAGAAAATCTCTGCTTAGGCATGCACGCATCTTAAAGGATGTGTGACAAAAGGAAAAGAGATGAAATCAGAAAAAAAAGTAACCCCCAAACAAAGCAAATCTATATCTAAACACAGTAGTTCCACAGGGCTATTAAACCTGGAGTCCAGAATGACCTGCTTGTATATCTGAGTGGAGGCCCTGTGCATTTTCAGTCAGATACTGGCCTTGAGCCAAAGTTTGTGTACTGTTTGTCAGCTTAATAGCCTGTTTTCACTTCAAAGCTCTCAGGTCTGCCTTTACTGTACAATACTATAAGTTTATGTGTACAAAACAGTGCAATGTTACCTAGACCTGTTCTTATATTACCATCTCAGTTACCCATTATTTTGCCTTGAATTGAAAGATAATTGGAAAACTTCCATGATCAAAATTAATTATAATATTTAACAATTGGAGTCCATCTTATAGTATACAATAAAACTGACCAGTTATTAAGCTTTCTCATTTTTAAATAGTTAGATATCTAATTTCTTTGATACCATCCATTGTCTTCCCCTTTTATCCCCTTCATTTCATGAGTAGTTGTTTTATCTGGTTTATGATTCACAATATCAATTTCCCTATATATGTACATTTTTCTTGGTGATTTTTGGTTGAATATTTATTTATTTATTTATAAATATTTATATGCCGCCCTTCTCCGGAGACTCAGGGCGGCTTACAATGCTTTAAGCAATAGCCTTCATACTTT